ACACGTCATAATAATAATATTAAACATCCTGTCTTCTAACAGTCATCAACTTTTTATCTAGTTATCCTTGACCATATGCAACCTGCTGCAACTCATGAGAATGCCTAAGCTAGACACCCTGTCTACTATAAACATTTCTAATACATCAAGTGTTTGTCAAAACTACAGTAGAACACATTCAGGTCACCTCTAGTTGACGGTCCTCCACAGCAGGGGGGGATGGTTTTTTTTATAGCCAGTGATGGTTTTCAGGCTCCCCCACACAGACGAGGGGTCGTTGGCTGACACCTGAGCTTTCAGTTTTTCAGAGTAGCTGAAGCTTAAGTTTCTGCCTGTAGGTTGGAATAAGATAGACCATGCAGTGATCTGAGAGTCCGAGGGCTGCGCGGAGGACAGAGCGATTGGCATCTGGTGATTTTGTCCCTGGTGGGACAGGTAATGTGCTGTCTGTATTTGGGCAGTTCGTGGGTGAGATTAGCTCTATTAGTCCCCTACAACAATGAGTGGAGAGTAGGGATGTTCCAGTCCGAGGGTAGTTATCTGTTCTGCCTGGAGCCGTAGTGCGCTACCGTTGAACTGTGGTTTTATGTACACTCAAATTAGAATTAAACTGTTAAATTCACGGGGAGAGTAAAAAGGACTCTGTGGCCCCGATGAAAATTGTGCGGCCTAAAACTAGGATGGAACCCTGGCTTGGTACAAGAACTTGTGTGGCCAGACAGATATGCCACAAAGCTGAAAGAAGGTGGAAGAAGGATGGACTGCAAGTTTCTCTGCAAATTTTGAAGGACTGTTGGTGCAACTATTAGAGGACTGTGGAAGAAGCTAAGCGGAAGTATTTGTCCAATATTGTTGTAGCTAATAGTCATGATTCACATGTATTATATAGAACAATCGGGATTGTGTTAAATCCCCCGCAGCCTGTCTGGAAGCAACGGTTGAACAATTTAATACGTTTTTAGTTTATTTTAATGAGAAGGTTGCTACTACAAAGGCCACTGTGGTAGGGTTAGTGCCTGATTCATCAGTCTTTACTTCTTGTTTGACTACTTTTGATGTTTTTGAGCCAGTAACTCTGAATTTTTTGGAGGGAGTGGTTGCCCAGGCCAAGCCTTCTGGCTCCCCTCGAGATGTCATTTCTCCGGCTTTATTTAAGGAAGTCTTCCCATGCATTGGAGGCACGGTGTTGGAAATTATTAATAGTAGTTTGTCTTCTGGTGTTGTGCCTGGTTATTTTAAGCATGCAGTTTTGCAACCTCTACTCAAAAAACCACGTTTGGATCAATCCATGTTGAGTAATTTTAGGCCTATTTCTAAGCTACCTTTTATCTCGAAGATTTTAGAAAAAGTGGTCTATGCGCAGGTGAAATCCTTTTTAGATGACAATAATTTATTGGAGGCTTATCAGTCTGGTTTTAAACTCATGCATAGTACAGAGTCAGCCTTACTAAAGGTTGTTAATGATATTTATTTGGCCACTGATGCAGGGGAGTATGTGATTCTT